GTGAACTGGTCAAACTTTTTTCAAAAACCCGCACACAATTCTGTTTTTTATTTTTATTTTGGCCGCAGTAGTGCACACTTTTTAAACATTTTTCAAAGAAAGACATTTTTTCTCTAGATGTTTATTTCCAATGAATATTTTTATTGATTTTTAGAGAGAGAGAAACAGAGGGAGAAGGGAGAGAGAGAGAGAGAGAGAAACATCAATGAGATGATCGGCTGCCTCCTGCACACATCCTACTGGGGATCGAGCCCACAATCTGGGCATGTGCCCTGACCAGGAATTGAACCAGTGGCCCCTTGGAACATGGGTCAGTGCTCAACCACTGAACCACATTGGCCAGCCCAAACTTTTTGTGTGTGTAAAGACAATCAGCCACATAAATCTAGAAAAAAAACACACAAATATAATTATATCAAAAAGGCAAGCTCTGATCATTTAAAAACTTATCCATGGTTTACAAAGTCTTGATTAAACAATATAATATAGACAATTAGGCACAGAAAGTTAAGTTGCTAGAATAAATGTTCTGAAGGGAAAGACCATACAAAGCAGACACTTGCTTAGAGTCTTCTGCCCTGAAGAGTTGACTTTCTGATGTGTTTATATTTCCAGCACAATTCTGTTTTGTTTTATTTTGGTGGCAGTAGTGCACACTTTTTAAACATTTTCAAGGAAAGACATTTTTTCTCTAGATGTTTATTTCCAACAAAACATCTTTTGTTCTCATGTACCTACATTCCCATGCCAGAAAAACTAAAGCAAGGCCCAGACAGATAATCTTCTGTGCTTAGTGACACAAACCAGACACATGAATATTTCGGAGTTCATATTCCCTGCCTGGTTTGCAGACTTTGCCTCTTCCCGTCCCGGTTCATTTGGATGCCCGGTTGCTTTTCCTCCACTGAAGCCCCCTGTTTGGATCAGGCTGGAATGTGTCCTGGTACCTGGCTTGGCACCACATTGGTATTGACTTTCTGATCTGTCTTCTGCCACATTCTGCCACTGAGACATGAAAAAGCAGAACAGTTATTCATCAAGCTCCCTCCCAGGTATGAGACGCCGCAGGGAGTGGAGAGAACTGTGGTGCAGAAAGAGCTGGCTTCTCATCGAGGCTGCCGTTGTACTCCGTGGGGATCCTGGGCAAACGGCTCAAATTCTCTGGGACCTGTGTCTTCATCTCTGTATTTCACAGAGACCTCATCTGTGTCCTCAACTCCAAAGTGAGAGGATTAATGCCAGCACTGAGACTTTGGGCTTGTTCTGAGATTAAGACAATGCATTTGAAATTCCTTTGGAAATCTTAAACTATTACACAGGTAGGGCTATTATTATTTCCCCTCAGTAATATAAAGCAACTCGATGTGTTCAACTTCTGTACTAATGATACCGTTGAGGCATTATTAATAAAGGTAATTTTTTTCCTTTGTCTCTCCCCTAACACCTTCCTAACAGGAAATGCTTCAGCTCTGGCTTAATGAAAACTGACGGGCGGGGCAGCCTTAATGAAGAATTTAATAATGGCTGATTGATTTAGCAACAAAGGGAAACTGCTTGCTGTTGTGCTGCTCAATGTGATGCCAGACGTCAGCTTTCCCCTTTCAGGCTGAAAGAAAGGGTTGGGAAGGAGGAAGGAAATTTTCTGTTTGTGGTTTAGGTTGCCCTTGGCACTGACTGTAACCTGAGGTAGTGGATGAGACGCTGTGAATGCTGGGGAGAGGCACTGGGCAGGGGGCCACCCCAAAACCTCTCTGGCTCGAGGCAGGAGAAGAGGCTTCCCTGCTATTGATTGCACAGGTAGTAAGTAGGAGAAATGGGAGAAATGGGTGTCAGAGTCTTCACGTAGTTTTTGTGTATTCTAACAACTTTGATCTCTTTCAAGAGCAGTGCTCCACATAGGCTGGTGTCCCACTTGTAAGATGCCTTACCTGGTCCCATCATTTCTCCTTAGGACTTGCTACTCACCATCCTCTCCAAGCTGATTTCAGATTCAGGCTTTACTTAATGCTATTTTGGGAAGCACAGTCTGGAGGCAAGAGCTGGATAAATGTTCTAGTTTGTTATCTATGGCTTTTTCCCCAGCATACAAATGAAGAGTAGCAATGCTGGAGCTGCTGCAAATTGGGGTGTAAGCCCTAAGCAGGACCATGTGGCATACTTACTGTACTGATACTTTACAGATTGTAACAGTGAAAATAACCTCAAAGAGCAGAAGATTCCTGAAGAGGCGGAATACGTAAAATGCTCCATTTCTTTGGAAGATATTTTACAGACTTTAGTAAGATCTCTTTTAATAATGTTCTGCTTAGGAACAGCCTGCTGAGCTGCAGTGCTGGTCAGGTGACATGTTTGACGGCAGAGGACTGGAGCGTCCAGAGGGGTTTTGACCTGCCCTTAGAGTGCACTCAGCTAGCATGTTTTTATGTTTATTTTCTTAAAATTGTACACTAATATGATTTATATAAACGTCATTTAATTCTTTTTATTGGAACAAGATACCAAATTTTGAAACTTGGTGAGAACTACTCTTGAAAACGTTGCAAACCTGCTTTTTCCCCCATTGCTGACCCTGGGATTTGTCTTATTTTAGTTCCTTTGGAATAATAATATGCATATAAATTTTCTCTTGATTTAGACACAGTTTTATAGAGTCATATTTAAAGTGTGTTACTTAAAACAAATGGCCTCATTTCAGCCCTTACTGGTGTCATGATTTATTCCTTCTATGTACAGTGCATCATCCTTCCAAAACCTATTACAGATTCAAGTCTGACTTAATGCTATTTTGGTTTTAGTGCTATTTGGTATTTTTACAGGTAACACAAGAATGACCATAATGAGGAAAAAAGTCCTAAGTTGGGCTTTTCTAATGTTTAATTTTTTTTTACCATGATATTATTATAGACTTCAGGAATTAAAATGAGTATTTTTTAGAGGGAGGTCTACATTTTAACCAGAAATATAGCTTTCTTGCTCCAGCTTCCCAGTTTGTGTAGGTTTATAGGCTTTTGGTTATAACACTGTGTCAGGTCATTATATTTAAAAGGGAGATGGGCCAGCGACAAAGTGACAGATAAAGGTATTCGGCCATATGTATTTCACAGACTTAAAGACAAATAAGTAATAGAGTTCTACAAAAAGTTTTATTATCTTATATATTTAGAAACTACTTTAGGATGCCATATTCTTAGGACTATAAATAGCCTGTATACCATCCAGAGATTTAAAAAGAACCCGTTGATCCTTGCCTTTTACAAGAGTAATAAGCTATCTAAAAATCATCATTAAATTTTAAAGGAAAAGATAAAAACAAAGATTCTTCCATTCTGATTATACCCTGCCGAGTCTGTCCACAGTCACACAGCGAAGGAGGGACAGAGAAGAAGACATTCATCTCGAAATCTTGACACCGCGCTCTATGCTTGGCTGAGGCTGGGATGCAAGGGCGACCCTGTCGGTCCTGCTGTGCTAATCTCGCAGAAACAGAATGAGGCCCAGAGAAAGCGAGAAGTCGCCTGGGCTCTTATTGTTAATTATTCCTTCCTTTCTGCACTACGGTGCTTTCTCCATTCTCCTCCGAATGTTTTTAGCAGTAAACCCAGAACTGCTCCCTCATACTTAGCCGCTGTCTCATAGAGCGAGCGAGCAGTTCGTGGAAGGCAGCCTGTCACTGCCACTAAACCCAGGGATCTGTGTTCCTCATGCAACACCTCCCTCATCCCACCTCCTCCGAGGTCAAGATTTCTTTCTGTAGCTTTTATTGACCATCTGCACCTGAATGTCTAAGGAGAAAAAAAATAAACTTGAGATTCAGGATGCTCAAAGATTCAAATGGTTAACCTTTCCCATAATTTTGCTGATTCCTCTTAAAATGTTGGAATCCTCTTAGAATAATTATCTCATTTCTCTCTCAACTCTGGCTGCATTACTTCCTTCACTTTCTTGTGTGTGCTTTTGATTCTGGAATTTTCAACCGGGAGCTCTCTCTTGAGTTTAGGATCTACTTTTTTCAGATATTTAATTGCTATTAACCGGGTGTACTACATGCTTCTTATATGCAGCGGGTTCTATTCCAAACTCTTCATTACTAGCTCTCCCCAATTGTATCTTCCTTTTGTATTATTTATTTAGGCCCTGAAGCTAGAATCTGTTTCACCCTTTACTTTTCTCTCAATCTGAGTCCCCACATCCAATTAGGTGTCACATTTTCACAGGTTTACTTCTGAAATATTCCTAAAATTTGGCTTCTACTCTCCGCCCGGCCTGCACTGCCTTCCTGGAGGCAGCGTCTTACTCCACAGCAGCATCTTTGAGCTCTAGTCTAGGCCATTTTACAGGAATGTCAAGAGCATTTATTGGATTTATACAATGTGCCAGGCAAGTCAGAAAAAGATAGAAACTCAATCCCTAAATTCCGAAGGCCTGTGTTATGATAGTTACATTTCCCCTTTTGTAGTTGTTGATCTCTCTTTCTGTCTGTACACTTTTCCTTCTTTCTTTTCTTTTATCTTTATGATGCATTCTCAATACAAGTAATTAAAATCTGTTGACACTTATACCCGTAACTGTTCACATGTACTGTTCTTGTTTATTGGTGAGACTCCTCAAATCTCATTCTGAAATTTTTCAAATACGCACATGTGAAATGTCAGTATTACTGAGAGCATTCCTAAGCTATTTAAAAGAACCATGACTAATTTTCAGAGTAGTTAAAATGAGATTTTAGAAAATGATAGGAAGGCCTAGGGGTAAAGTAAATGATTGTGAAATATGAAGCAAACTGTAGTGTTTCCCAAAGCTTTATAGTTTGTTTTGGTAGAATACATGCTAAATTCTCATATGTCCCCTGAGTGCTGCAAATCAAGTTCCTCTTAAAAGAATACTTTTAAACAAAATCATCTCCTTAAGATTTCTTAAGTATTTTCTGAGGAGTTTTTAGTGTGCTAAAATCCTTCTATAGTGGTTGTTAGATGTAATGAAGCCTTTTCTGTTGCTGGTAGGTACACACTGGTGGATATTTTACGGGCCATCTTGCTGTCTTTAGAAGCCATGATTGAAGATCCTGAGCTTCAGGTGAATGGATTTGTTTTGATCATAGACTGGAGCAACTTCACCTTCAAGCAGGCCTCTAAGCTTACACCCAGCATGCTGCGGCTGGCTATCGAAGGCCTTCAGGTAACCATGCACGAATTACCCGTGGTCTCCGTCTCCCATGTTTGACTCATCTAATCTGTTAGCATAGCAAAATGTCCCACCTAAGGAACAAAAACAAATTTTATGTAGTTTTCAAGCACAAACATTAAAACGCTAACTAGACAAAGGCTTTTAGAAGAAAAACTGAGAATGTGGGACTTTTAATAGATGAGAATTTGTAATACTTGGTGCAAACCCTCACTATGCCTGAACATAAACATGGGTGATGACCTGAGGTTTTTGACTTGAAAATCAGAACAAGCACCACCTTTTGGATTTTAATCATTAATTATCTAGGCTTATTTTTGTCTCTTTTTCCTTTTCCGTGGCTATTTGTTAATTAGTTAAAGGTTTGCTTCATTATTGCATTTAACCTGGTGAATTGGGATATGATGGGTTATATCTTCATGTTGCCTAAAAGCTGTTGGAAAGCCAATCAATATGTTTTTGATCTCTAAGCAATGGAATCACTGTTTTAAATTACTTTTGTAGACTTAATTGGGGGTTTTGGCCTTTTTTTTTTTTTTGGGGGAAGGATTGTCACATAGAATTTATATAGGAATGGTGCATCTTCCAGTGAATGACATTTAACTGATTGGGAATCATGAAACTATGAAATGGAAAACCAATTATTATTTAGTGGTATGTGATAATTAGCTGACAGCCAATTATTCCCTAAAAATGAGCCACTCCTCCAGGCCGTAGGACAGCGTAGCCAAATTGAGTTGACAGCTTGAGTTGTGCCTCTGGAGAGAATAAGACACCTTGGTCTGTTTTCTCTGCTTAGGCTTTTTCTGATACAGGTTTTCTGACTTGCTTTTGGTGAGTCACCCTTGCTACTGTCTTAACTTGAAGAACATTTTTATTTTTTAAAAACTCCATAGAGACAGTTAAGAAAATTGGGAGAGGGCACGGAATAACGCATATTTGGAAGTGTGTGTATCATGATGAATGTGCCCTATTGCCCACAGTGTATAAAGTGTTTTTTATTTTGTAAAGAAAATTGGTTACCACCAACTGTGTTACTTAACAGGATGGTAACCTAGTTTTTTAGAACTGTTACCACTATTTAACCTGTGTCTTCTCTTTGCACTAGAGGTAGACTAGGCCTTTTGCTGCATGCAGGACTGGAGAGTGCATATTATTCCTAAGAAACTTAAAAAAAACTTCAAGGGTAGACTCAGTGCCTTGCTATTTGCCAACTTACACTGTTTGGAGACATTTAGTAGTAAGGTGAGAAGTCATTGCGGGCGAAAAAAACTGAAAATTCAGGCATGTTGGGAGCTTCTCTATTAGCCATGGCCACTATCAGAACGTCTTTCAGTGCAAAGTGTCAGCATGACAGGGGCTACAGTCAGTGCTTGTGCTGGTAAGTGAAATGGTCCCCACCCTGCAGAGACCTGTGCTGGCCGCCTCATCTCTATTCCCTATAAATGTCTCAATCTCCTTTTCTTTCTCCCAGGACCTAGACTGAGTAAGCAGGGTTGATGCCTCCTAGTTGTCAGTTGAGAAGCCACTTAAAATAAGTGAGCTCTTCCCGTCATTAAATTTGACATGTTTTTAACCTTTAAACTCAGTGTTTTCTTCAGTTCAAATTGAGTTTTTAAATGTTCTTTATCTGTGTCTATATGTGTAGATGCCTCTGTACTATGTCTAAAAACAATGGTAATTCTGAATAGATTACAAGATGTGTGAAAAATGTTCCATTGTAACAGGCATGGTTTCATATTTAGTCTCATACAGAAGTTACATTTTATGACTTTTCTAATCAAGTCTCTGTTTATTTTGCATTTAACATGTGAGAAATATTATTGTGCATTAATAGATGTTTCATGCAGAGCATGAATAAATGTATTTTTGAGATTGACATAAGACCATGAAATGTTTGAAATGAAGATATATACACAATTTTTGGCCACTAAACACAACTAATACCATCATCAAGACCACCAACACTACCTCGACAATAAATAACCTCCAATTAAACGAGCCAGGAAAATTGAGAGGTGAAAATATTTTTATTTATTTTTACTTTTTTTTATGTGAGAATATTTTTGATAACTCAGCTATTGTTTACATCATATCATAATTCTGCTATAATATGTTACTTTTACTTGGGCAAACATAAAAAATATTCTAGGGAGTTGAACAAAAAATAAGAAAGGCTAAAGATGGGCCTAGAGCCACAGAGGAAACTTACTTTAACGATGTGTATTATTAATGGGATGTAACTGTGTTGTGAAGAGGCCCCATCTCTCTTCCTCTTGGGGTTACTGCATAACCTTTCTGTCTGCACACACCAACCCCCTTTGCCTGAAGTGAAAGAGTATTTTGAGTGACTTGGCTAGAGATAGCACCTGATACCTTAGATAAAGACACACAGACCATTGCTAGAAGATCCACCTGTGATCACAATACAAGGTCAATAGAGAGACAATGTGGAAGATTGAAAATAAATGGGCTTTAGAGGCAGACAGACCTGAGTTTGGATGACAACCCTGCTACATATCAAATACTTGGAAAGATTCCGGAACTTGTTTGGATCTCAGTCTATTCATTTATACTAAATTTAAAGTATATTAGAAATGATACATCTTGCACCCATCAGGTGATATCAACGATCAAAGTAATCAATGTGCATGAGCTAATTTTTTCAGGTGCCATATTTTTCTGGGTATGTGCTGGTTTTCTCACAATTCAGTGACTACTTAGACTCTGAAGACCTAAAGTTAATTAACATTGAGAATCTGAATGATCTCATATTTTGCTTTTAGTGCTCAGATTGTAGATACACAGATTGCATTTTTTTAAAAGTATTTCACTGTGTGGTTAAATAGCGTTTAGATATGTTCATGTTAGATGCCAAATAAAATAATTTTTCATGTTGGAAGCCAAGGAAAAATGAGATGGTTTCATATAGTGAAAACTGATCTTTGTTTCTTTTTAGAAAAGCTCCAGGCACAGTTGGAAAGGTGGTGAGTGTGGAGATATCCTTGACTTGGTGGTTGAGCAAGAGTTTGCTAAGTTGGCAAAGACAGGAAAAGCATTTTGGGCAGGGAAACTTTTGGGTAGTGTTTTTGAAGAAACATACAGCTACAAGAGGTTGAAAGTATACATGATAAATCTGTTTTTTATGGTTAGAGTGAGAATGAATTGAGGTGAATGACCAGAAATGAGCAGGGAAAGCAGGCTGAGTCTTGGCACCATGCGATAGAGGATGGCATGCTATATGGTTTGGCTTTTGTTCTCAGACATGGGGAGATTTTGGACAAAAAAGTAACCTGGCCACTCCTCTGCTTTAGGAAGATCTCTTGGGTAGAAAAATGAGCTGTACCAAAGGAGGGAGGAGTTGTTTCTAGAGAACCTCCAAACTATCCTGGGGGTAATTATATCGATTCCATTTTATAGGACAGAAAATGAAACTTCAGGCAGTTTGACACCCAAAAGACATAAAGGCTTGAGTCCAAGTTGGCTGACTCCAAAGACAAATGCCTTTCCCGAATCTTACTGTTTCTATTGTTTCCAGGGCTGTGCCTAAGAAAAAGTGGGTAAGCTTAGTTTAGAGTAACTTCCCTATTCCATGCCAAATTCTCACATTAATACAGGGGAAACTTGTTTATTGGGATAAACAAACAATGCTAACTGGCTTTGCACTGTTTTTTTTGACACCAAGTGGCAGAATCACTTTTTTCCCCATGAGCTACTGCCAGCCTCCCAGTTCCCTGTCATTGGGGCCAAGAGAAAGGCACTTTTCTCATAGACAAAGAGAACTTACATCAATACAACCCCAAATCTGTAAGCCACTCATAATAGTTGTTTGAGGAAATTGTGTATATTTTCTCTGTGCAGAATATTAAAACATTTTTTAAAAATGAAAAGCATCAAACATTTTTACCAACAAAAATGTAGTTCTTTGATAGATAAGAGGCAACATCAGATATTTTTGTGGAATAAAGTATTCAGGCTTCATTGGAAAGAAAAGAGAAAGAGAAAATTGTCCTGCTACTTACAAGACGTTAATTGATTAGGGTAGTTATAGTAACAGAAAGCATCTTAGAAAATCAATACAAGATTAAGTGGGTGTGACTTGTAGACTAAGATATCTACCTGGGAAGCCAATTAAAACATGAAATGTTTAGAAATATCTGGAAAAGCTTAGACTCTGAATTTACAGGTAAGCGATGAGCTTTTAATATATTTTTTTTGTCGCAGTTGCTCTATTTTTATTTTCTTGTAAAATATTACCACTCTTAAAATCCTTTAATAATGAAAAACTCAACCTCTCTTAAGAATCCAGAATTTCTTATTTGTGAATTAAAAAAAAAATTATCCAAGTCTTACGTGTATATATTTATTGGTTGTTCCCCCTTAGCTCTGTGCTGCCTTGTCTGTGCTTTTGCTTTCACAATTTCACAGGAATGTCCAAACTCTTTACGCTGAAAAGTATGTAATGTAGTCAAGTTGTGGGTCTGTTGGCAAGGGGCTCGGCTGTAACAGAGAAATGAATCGCTTTTTGAATTGCTACATTAAGACTCAGATGTAGGGCCATCACAAAGCGCCTAAATCGGTGCCAGATATTGTAAGAGCCCTTCATAAAACCAGGACTTGTGAGAGAATAAAGAGAACTTGCAGTTATTCATCTTTTTGTTGTTGTTAATTCACAGTACTTAATGGGGCCCTTTCTTTTGACTCAAGGGTTCAGTGTTGCAAGCAGCCACCAATCTGCTAGATCTGAGAGCCCTGGTCATTCATGTGGAAGGCAGAGAGTGCTGCCGTTACAGATTCTGGCTCTGTTTGGAAGCTCAGTTCTACCTAGGGGCTCTTGCCAAGAGCAGAGAACGTGGTAATGACTTGGCTCGTCACTCTCCAAGGCTAGCGGGTGAGGAGCTCCATTAGCTTCTCTAGCATTAGCTTATTCAGTCCTCCAAATGCTCCCCACAATCTCTGGCGGCTTTGAAATTGCACTGGGGTGTGTGTGTGTG